ACAATGACTGAAATATTTAAGGTTTATTTTAAAAAACAACAAAACAATTGTGTTTTCTGTGTGGGAATGAATATAGATTAGTTATATATACATATCAACTAATTTCTCTTAGTTATATATACATATCATCTACTTTCTTTTCTCACACCTGTTTCTTCAAGAGAGATCTAAGCTGATTAAATTAAAGCTTTATTTGCTGTAGTTGCTTTTCTAAATAATCTTTTGACTAAGATTAAGATTTTTATTATGATTTCTAATCTACAAGGCTTTTAAATAAATCTTGCCCTTTAGTYATGTTGTTGTTTGCATCTATTTCCTTGCATGTTCAAAATAAGGACTGGATGGATAAGCACAGATGCCAAATTGAGAGTGATAGATTTCTTCAGTGCTGTGACAAAGTAGGTGTCTCTGTGCTGCATCACCTTCTGTAGGCAATTTGCTGTGTTGCCTCTTACCCTGTGCATGTGTTCTCCAAGAATCCTCCAAGTGTGATTGTCTGCACAATTGAAACAATCCGACTGGTTAAAACTCACTGGGAGCAGATGCTCTGTTCAGTGAACTTCTGTTCAGTGCATTTCCTGCAACCCCCACCTCTTCTGCAGCTGTGGTATCATTAGCCTAATATTAGGTGTATCACAGAATCACAGAATAGTTAAGGTTGGAAGGGACCTCTAGAGATCATCTAGTCCAACCTTCCTGCTCAGGCAGGCACACCTAGAGCATGTGGCACAGGGYGGCATCCAGGCGGGTTTTGAAGASCTCCAGAGAAGGAGACTCCACAACCTCCCTGGGCAGCCTGTTCCACTGCTCTGTYACCCTAACAGTAAAGAAGTTGCTCCTCACCTGGAGATGGAACTTCCTATGCTCCAGCTTGTGGCCATTACTCCTCGTCCTATCGCTGGCCACCAGTGAAAACAGCTTGTCCCCTTCCTCCCTGCATTCTCCCTTCCTGAACTTATACATATTAATCATATCCCCTCTGAGCCTTCTCTTCTCCAAAGAAAACAGGCCCAGCTCACTCAGCCTCTCTTCATACGAGAGATGTTCCATTCCCTTAATCATCCTGGTTGCTCTTCTCTGGACCCTCTCGAGAAGCTCCACGTCCCTCTTATACTGGGGAGCCCAGAACTGCACACAGTACTCCAGGTGCGGCCTCACCAGAGCTGAGGAGAGGGGCAGAATCACCTCCCTTGACCTGCTGGCAACACTGTGTAGATGTGAGAGGCGTTGCTATCTTCTGGATCTTCTTAGATATCACTCCTGGATCTGTAAGTGGCTTGCTAAAACAAGACATTTAACCTTTGCTTCTGTCTCAGCCATGCAAATAATCCCTTGATAAAACCATATTTAAGCCTAAAGCACCTTAAAAGTATTTTCTTAAGGTCTTCGTAAGTAGCCCATCAAGGAGAATAACCCATTTAAGAAGGTTTGCTAGAGCAGCTATACATCAAAGTTTGCAGAGCAGTTTTAATACTTAARAACACTTTATTGATGTTCAGACATTTTGGGGAGGGAGAAAGAAAAGGTTACACTGGGAAGATGCTGATTAATTGGCTGCTAYTTCTTCCTTTATTCTTTGCTTATCTCTTAGGAGACTATGCTGATACCAGTTTTGTCTTTGGCCATCTTAATCTCCTAAACCTCTAAACCATCATATTAAACAGAACCTTTGAAATTAAATCACATCTCTTCATGTTGAAGCAYACAAGTTGGTAGATTTTGTTTTATTTCCCTTAAAGAAGAAAGCAGAGATTGGCAGAAATGAAACTTTCCCTTCATTTTTTTTTCTGAAAGTTGCCTTCCATTAAGTTCCAGTTGAACAAAGTGAAATAGAAAACTGAACAAATTGAAGGAAGTTGGGAAAAAAAATTATGGAGTCTGATGGTGAAATAAGATGAAATCATGTTACAATCAGAAGTTGAATCAAATTCAGGACTTCTATGAGAAAGATTCCAAAATTAGCCTGTTGCATTCCTGAAAACTTCAGGTACCCTTCAGGTGAAATTTTGAATCTGGTTAAAAAAAAAAAAAATTAGGACAAATCCCTGAGCAAAGATGAAATGAGGGTGTCTTTTCTCCTTTGTGAAACTGAACCCTATTGCAGGCCTGTAGTTGACTAATGCAAACTTTTAGCTACTATTTTGGCTTTTGCTTTTAGGAATTGTCATTGTATTTGCGTTTGCCCCCCAGGAAACAAAGCTGCTTTGTCCTTATGTATTTTATAACACCAAAGGTATTGCTGTTAACGTCCAGCCTGCAGTTCAGTTACTCATTACTTGACTTTTTCGCACCTTTTACTGTAGAATATCAAATCAGTTGTGAAGTTGTTAGACAAAATATCCAATAACAAATAGTTTTCTGCTTTGTGTGTTTTTTTATATATATTTTTTCATCCCTATTGATGTTATTTTGCAACTGATATGTTATAGTTACACTGAGAAATAATCTTTTAGAATGATATTTGGCTGATCAAATTACACTTGTTGTTCTTGATAGTGAAACTCATCTCAAGAATTCAGTTTATTCTCATACAAAAACTACTACTTTATTTGAATTAGTAGCTTTATTTATTGTTTTTTTTTGTTGGCACTATATATCTGCTTGTCAAAATTCACAGTTTGTTCACTACATGACCCTTTAATGGTAATCCCAGATTAGTCACTGTATTTACAGCCTTTGGAGTTTGTTGTGATCTTTTAGAGAGGAAGGAGGTGGAGGAGGATTGCAGTTATCTGTAAATAATTAGGCAGGTGGGCTCTTTCTGCCAGCTGCATGAAAGAGGTCAGTGGTCTCATCAAATGCCAAGTGTGAGCTAATGTGTGCAATGCTTATTGAACCCTGGGAGGCTAAATATGAGTAAACATGAATTTCCCTATGACTGTGACTAATGTGGCCATAGGTGGATTTTGTTTTATTTTGCATAGCTGTTTATCATTAACTTTATTTGAAAGGAAGCAGTAAACCAATTTTTGTGATTACATAGTGGGGTTGAAGAGTGAGAAGTTTCATGAAAAATTAGCAGGTGATAAGATTGTTAAATTCATCTTTTATAAGAAAACAAGTAAAAACAAATCAGAAATTAGCCCATCAGAAACTAGTTGCACTAAAGGAACATTTAATGTGTTGTGCTGCTGTGCTTCCTAATATAGTTTTGAAAATAAAATAGAGCTTTTATTCATGTAGTTTTGGAAATAAAATACTTCTGGAAAAGGTACTCGACTGCTTCAACATGATGATTTTCTACCTCATTTTCGGCAAATATTAGAGACCCAGATTTGCTCTCTCAACTAAGAAATGGAGGATCACCCTAAACAGATATCTGAGAGGATGCTGGCACTTGGGTATTTTATGAAAACATATTGTTATTGATTTTGTCATACTGAATTATTATGCAGGTAGTTTCTGCTTGAACAGTGGCAACTGTTTCGAAGAAGGATGTTAGCAAAGTTTCCTATTTTTTTTGCCCATGAAGTTGTTTGAACAACTCTATAGTATGATCATAAGGCCTTGCACATTTAACATTGAAAGGTAAGAGGAGGAAAGCATCTGGGCCTGCTGAAGCTCTACCTTGCTCTTTGCTTTCAAAATCATCTAGGAGCGTCTCTTCCTTTCTTATYTTCATTTGTTAGGGTGTATGTGTTGTATGGCAACCTCAGTTTATTATGCTGGGTGGCGTTGACTGTGATGACACTTGGATGTAATTCTTTTTCTCAGACATTGCCAAGCTGCTGGGAAGTGGCTGCGTAGAGCAGCACCTTCAACCTTGGACAATCTGCTCTTTTCATACAYTGTCATGTCTGTTGATTTCACTTACTGTTTTTTTTCTTTTATTTGTACTGTAAAGGCAACCGTTATTTATTCTATTTCACTTGAGCCACAAAAACCTGTCTCCTTCACACTGTCTCGTTTACTCATTTACACTAGATTAAAACAAGTTTCTGGATAAAACTACTCCAAGTAAGCAATTTTTTAAAGAATAAAAAAACCCTGATTTTCACAGGTGTTTTGAAGTTTTTTTACAGAAATAAAATATCAAGAATCTTCTGTTGAGCCTTTCAAGAAATGTGAGCAGAGTTTTAGAGCCAAGTCATCTCAAAAATGCAATTTTGATTAGTCTTTTTGTTCTCTATGTCGAGTTCACTGCTTGCCTTAGACATCAGTTATTCATAGTCTTTAAAGAGTCAGAAGGCAGGACAGAATAGTCCATATCGTATTTCAGCTGTGGTTCGGGAGAGAAAAGGGGCAAGCCTCCCTTTGGACTACCTGTTTCTTGAACCTGTTCTTTCCCCTGAAGGGGTGGGAACATCAAGGGAAGTATAGGTGTTCCTGGGATATCTGTCTTTGCACTTTCAAAGTATTAAGTGGCGAGTCAGTGGGCAATGTGAAGCTATCTGAGTGGTCTGCAGCACTTGTCCTTGCAGACTGAGCAGTGAGAAGAGYTGCTGTGTTGTTTGTAAGAGCTTTCACAGGACAACCACATAGGAAGGATCTCATCTGCCATCAAGTAGAGAGATGACTGCTGTGTTCATCATAGTCATGTCCTGGAGTTGTGATAAACACAGCAGGGGAGCAAGGGGTGGGATTGCTCCTCTCTCTGGAGTCCAATGGCAACTGGTTAGGTTATTTGCAGAACAATATTCCAGTGTATCCATAATGTTTCTCTCCCTCGAGTTTTCAAATATTAAAGTTGCTATTTTACTTCTGTTTAGGTCTACTAGAGGTGCTTCTCCTTCGTGCTGTCCTCCATGTTACAGAAAGGTCCTAGCAGGTCTGCCTGTCCTTAAATGATCAATTCATGTCAGAAGAAGAGGTGGGGGCAGAAGTATCTGTGTGCCATTCACCAGTCTGTAACTCTTCAGCCTGAAAGTTTTGACTGCTAAGTGCTATTCAAATGACACAAAAGAGAAGAGGTGGCCCTAGATTTATATATGAAATAAAAACTCTTTGCTTGCAAACTTTGGCACATGCATACATACATATGGTTGTTTCTCTACTTTTAGGAATATACCATAGATATAATTTTTGCCCAGACTTGGTATGACAGTCGTCTAAAATTTAACAGCTCAATGAAAGTGCTTATGCTTAATAGCAATATGGTTGGAAAAATTTGGATTCCAGACACTTTCTTCCGGAACTCAAGAAAATCTGATGCTCACTGGATTACAACTCCAAATCGTTTGCTTCGTATCTGGAGTGATGGACGAGTATTATACACTTTAAGGTGGGTGTTTACAACTGCATAAAGAAATAGTGTTTTTATTCCTAGGAATGTATGAAAACATTAAGAGCATGAAAAAAGTCTCAGACCCTTTTTTTTTTTTGTGAATGAAGATGTGAAATCTATAATATTGAATTACATTGCCCAGTTATAGAGTAAATACAATTGAAAAGTAAGCATATCATTTAGGTACAGGCGAGAAATAAAAATAAAAACTATGTAACCAGTAGCACAGTGTTGGTCCATCTCTTTTTTTTTAAAAAATTTTTATGAGACTTCTCAATTTCTGCGTATAGTTGTGCACATGCTTAACTCAACTTTTACACTGTATAATTAAAATCAGGAAAGCTGTTCTTAAACTCTGTAAAATTATGAAATCATTCTATAAATWAAATTCTGCAAATTAGTCCATTATSAAGTAGATTTGACATTTATGCAGAGGGGGACAGCAACTGGCTCAGAGAGGGCTTTGTTCAGCCATCTGTGCAAGGTTTCTACCCACCAGAAAGAGACCTGAATGAGCAAAACATGTGCATTGACAGTAAAATGATGCAGAGCACTAAAAAATATACTATCTATTTTTATGTATTTCCTTAGAATGGGCAATGTATTTCATGTCTTTTCAAAAGATAAGGTTATACGATCCAATAAATCTGGTTCTGTACTAATCCTGTACTATAGGATTATGTTTTTTGGTGTGTTTTTGGTTTTAGAAGCATCTTTTTAATTATTTTCTTTTTAGTCATTTGCATAGTTTTCATATGTGGACTAGTGATGTTGTATAATGTTTCCTCATTTATTTATTGTGCTGAGCATTTCCAGGGTCACGTTGGATTTTACCCTTCCRTTGTCTGTTCAGTTTCCAAAAGACTTTTTTCATAATAGTATCTAAGTGAAAACCATATATGTGAGGTCTCCTGGAGTGAAAGGGTAGAATTATAATGCTAATATATGAGCTATGAAGTGCAATGGGCTGCTGGTGAACAGCAGACCTTGGTAATCACCCAGCACTGCCATGTGCAAACATTTGGATAGAACAGGGGGATTGCCTGAATTTGGCCTAATGTGGAATAACATGGAGAAGAGAAGTTCRTATGTTGGTGATTAAAGGAATGCTAGTAGGAGCTGACCATGCTGCAGGTTCTGTGGTTCTCCTGTGCTAACACTGCCCTAAAGTTGTTCGTCTTTCTGTTGGATCCATCTGTGATTCCAGAACTAGTTTTATGGTTTTGTCTGCCTTTTTTTTTTTTTTTTTGGAAATAGAAATCAAAAAGAAAGAAAAAGAAATCAAAATATGTGTGATAAGCACATTTGAAAAGTCTCACCAGAGCTATGCAAGTCATTCACTTTGAAATATGGCATATTCTTTTCCAGAATTTGACAGGAAATTTCCTTTATTTTACTTTCCTATAATAAATTACTTCTGCCTCCCTCTTGGTCAGGTCAGATTTCCAGGAAGGTCCTCATAACACTTTGTATAAAGTAATTGCTTTGTTCACAGGCTCACAGGGTCTTCAGGCAAGTCCTCCTATCTTCATCTCTCTATCTCAGTGTAGTATATAAGTGTGATATTATTTTTTCAGAACTGAATTTAGAAGAAATTCTGCCTTCTTCACCAGGCTGTCAACAGAGGAGGAACTATTCTAAATGCAAAGATAGCAGTTAAGTGTCCAGCCCCTTACTGCAGCCTCCTAGGGAAAGTTAGCATGAGCTGAGCTTCTCATTTGGTGCTGGGAAATCTTTGGAAATTTTGGGTAGTGTTTTTAAAAGCAGCAAGTGATTCTGTTGTTCAAATACCATTATGAGTTCAGGACTCAAAATATACAGTTGCTATGTGCATTATTTGATTGCCTTAGATATTGAATAAGTAGAAATACAAAGCCAATTGTTTCCCATCTCTGCTGCTGTTCTCATCAGAGCCACTTCCATGAGTAGAGCAGAGCTGTGCCCTTGCATTCACCATGTAGGAGATTGCCATCAGATATAGTGACATGAAATGCCATTTGACTTGATGAAGGCATTTTTCAGTGGTTTCCTTTATTTGCTCTCCTGAATTCCCCTCTGTGCCGTGTTCTCAATTCAACCCTTTTTTCCATCCCTTTTACCCATCCCTTTTACCCTCCCCTTTTTCTGGTGAAGATCTGAGAAATTGCCCTAGTTCAGCTGACAACCTAGGAATTGCTACCTGTACCAATAAACCGCTCAGGTCCTCAGATTGCCTTTGCCAACAGTTTTCATCCTCTGGAGGTGATGCTGAGGTGTTTTTGCAGATACAAAGCTGGCTATGTATAGCATGCATTAATTGGCAAAATTGATTTCTGTGCATGTCTTTTATTTGCTAGTCTGAAATGTCTCATGTTTGAATATTTACTTTTTTTTTTCCCCCCAATTAGGCTGACAATTAATGCTGAATGTTATCTTCAGCTTCATAACTTTCCCATGGATGAGCATTCCTGTCCCCTGGAATTTTCAAGCTGTAGGTGGTAAAACACTCTCCCCCCTTTTTTTTTCCCTTTCTCTCTCTTTTTCTTTCACTCTTTCTCTTTCTTGCATTTAGACTTTTATTTTCTTTTAGTTATGAGCAAGTGACTGTATTTTGAAGTCTTAGAGAGAAGGAAAGGATGGACCTCTTTATATTTTACTTGGATTTGTTGCATTGTTTGTTGCATTAATAGATGAAATAAAGAATTACGTGCATTTAATTTAATGGCAGCTTTAAAAATGATCATGTTGCTTAGAAGAAATTTTTTTAAAAAATGCAATGTCCAATCAAGTTAGTGGGAATATATTGCCTTAAGAGAAGAGAGGGGTTTGTTCTTTTCTCCTTCCCTTTCCCTTTCCCTTTCCCTTTCCCTTTCCCTTTCCCTTTCCCTTTCCCTTTCCCTTTCCCTTTCCCTTTCCCTTTCCTCTAGCCTTGCTAGCTTTGAATTAGTTGCTAGGGGTCAACTTAAGAAGAACAGTAAGAGTTGCCCTCTTTGACCTGTTTCTGCAGGTATTTAATCAGTATAATGAGCTCTCCTTCTTTAAGTGGGACAAAAGCGTGTCCCAAGAGCATGTGGGAGCAAGTAATACTAGCTTTCAGGTTTGGATTCTTAAATAGGAACTATATGTATATATAAAAAAATGTTATTAAGAATACTGTTAAACAAGATCACYATTACTGGCAAAAGAAATAAATAAATAAAATAAATAAACGGGAAACCTAACAGTCAATGAAATCAAACTCCAAAGATTCTTCCTAAATAGATGTTTAAATTTAACGCTTCCTTCTTGAATACTGCCAGCTCTGCAGCTCTCACCTCAGCAGTTGTGCTCTACAAGTGAGTCTTTATTAATTTAATTTCTGCCTTTGCAGGACCATGGCAGGGAAACACCATGAAAATCAGTTTTTTTCCTCCCTTAGAATTGAAATGCTAGACAATGCATCAAGCCACCAAAAAAACAAGTCTGTATTTTTAAGCTATTTATGTTCTTTTCAAGCTGTATTGGTGTCTGTTACACTGATAGATTAATGTTTAGCACTGATTCGGTACTGGTTGTTCATGGCCGAGTACAACAATATTGTGTCCATATTTCCTAGTTTTTTTTTTGTTTGTTTGTTTTTATTTGCACAGTTGTTGGTTGATTATACATTTAGCTAAGCTTAAAATTGAGGTTAAACATTTTTGAGTTAAATTTTAACAGCGTATCAAGTAGATTCTAGAGCAGCTTGCTCTGTGATCCAGTTTATAAACAGCCCTGGTTTAGTGTGTAAATAATTTCAAAGATCACAAGTGAAAACATGTTTTGAAATATACTGCAATTGAATGCTTGATTTGCTCTGCTTTGTTTTAGATGGATATCCAAGAAATGAAATTGAATACAAATGGAAGAAAACCTCTGTTGAAGTGGCAGATCCAAAATACTGGAGATTGTATCAGTTTGCCTTTGTAGGCTTACGAAATACAACTGAAATTTCTCATACTCTGTCTGGTAAGGCAAAATGTAGAGATTTACTGCATGTAATAACAATGCAGAGCAACAGTAACAGATAAATAGGTAACCGAAAACCATTTACCACATCCGCTGAGATATTTTTTTTAACTTATAGGTGATTACATTATTATGACAATCTTCTTTGATCTGAGCAGACGTATGGGATACTTTACAATCCAGACATATATTCCTTGTATACTGACAGTTGTTCTTTCATGGGTGTCATTTTGGATCAATAAAGATGCAGTTCCTGCAAGGACATCTTTGGGTATGTACGTCTATTCTCTACCTTGAAGGGTCTAATACTCCCTAGGAATACAAATCTGCAGATGGCTGTAAATTAACCAGTTTATTCCCCTTCAGACAGTGACTGCTGGTCACCTTTCTTCTTGAACCTCAAGATTAAGAGGAGGAGGATCCAGCTGTGGTTTCACAGCAGAGCTTAAGGAGAGAGTGTTGAGAACGGAAATCTTCTGGAAATTGTGATTCAAGCCTTGGGGATCTGCTGCTGATCACATAAATACATTTTTCCCCCTTTTATATTCTTTTTGTCATCTCTGGGGACAGCAATATGACAATAATTAGTCTGACAAGTATGATTAAACTTCCCTTAGTGTTTTGGAAGAAAGGATGTGATTACTTCATTAAGGAAACCTAGGAAGGTTTAGATTTCTAAAAAGTAGTGAAAATGATTCTTTTTTTCTTGAGACTAAAATGAGGAAAATGTTTAACTACATTTTCACCTCAAACTATTAGGTGTAATACACCTAACTCACAAAAGCCAGACTCACCATCCTTAGGAATTTTATTTTTACTATATTTTACTTTTATTTTTTACTATATTTTATTTTTACTACTGAATTATCACGAATTTTGCTACAGAGATTATTCTGTGGCAGTGTCACCTTGGCTGAGCTGCTTGGCATGGCATCAATCAACCTTTGATTGCTTGGGATTTGTTCCCTGCCTTGGAGAAATGCTTTGTACCTCGGTATATGGGAGATCATGGCACACATGGAACACATGCTAGCAACTTTGACCTTAGCACTGATAGATGTTTTTAGTAAAATTGGTGGTGGCACTGTAATCTATGCTATGGAAAAGACCAAGGGTCCAGTGCACATCTTAGGAAGCGAGAGAGGGATGAATTAATTTGCCTTACTAGTGTTTAGGATTGTGAACACACCATTTTCATGTTAAAAACAAACAAACAAACAAAAAAGGCAAGTCCAGGCTTTAACTTTCTGCCTTTCTGATTGAAAGTGGATTGCTGTGCTGTTAAATCTGCAAGATTATTGAGTCAAGGAAGAAAGTAAGCAAAATTCAACAAGACTCAGTAGCTTTAATGAAAAGATGGGCAAAAGGAAGTATGAGTCTTGGACCTTAACACGGCACTATTTAAAAACTCTGTAAAACTTAATGAAGAGACCCTGATGGCTCTGATACTTAGAAACTATAAAATGTCTTCAACTTTTTAATCATTGCTTGTGAATCTTACTGTGGGGACAGTCTGGAAAGACTATTTTTAAACGGGGAAAAAAAAAGTCAAATCCTTCTCATCCTACATCTACATTGTTCTTTATATGAAATAATCTTTCTGTGCCATTAATCTAGCACAATCTTGGATCAAATGATGAACCCTGAGTTTTCACAATCTCATTTTAGCAAAACTAACCTAATCATCTTGAGATGCCCAGCAAGTGATTGCAGAATCATATTTGCAGCTCCATCCAGTTAACTCTGAGTTACTTTTGGTGASTTTCTCATGAGCCTGCTTGACTGGTAGATTGTAGGATTATTTTTTCTCATAGACACACATTCTGGAAGAGAAGAAAAGGGTTGACCAGTGGAATAAACAAAGTTTTACAGAGAATGATTTAGAAATTAAAACAATAAAAGCCAAAGTAGGGTCCATCATGACCAGCAGCCAAAAGGCTGTGGAAGGTTTGCTCAGTCAAACAACCCTCCATTTCCTTTCTTCAGTAGAGAGGGCTGGGAAAGTCTGGGTCTCATATCGTCCCCTGAGCAGATATCTACAGGGGAACTTGGGGATCTCCTTCCACCTGATGGCTGTGCCGCAGCGGGGTATGCCACAGAGCCTCACACCTTTTTCTTGCATGCATCTATGTTGCAACCCTGACAGATTRTGGCTCCCCAAAGCAAAATGATCCAGATTATTAAGGTATTTAGGCATTTAATTAGGCAGAGAAAAGCCTAATTGATTTTCAGAAGCATCTAGTGGGAGCTAAACACTTTTGAAAAGCTCTGTGGTTGCTTATATGCCATTCTTTTACCTCCTCATTTACTTTTGAGAAATCTGCTGCAAAATCACCACTGTTTTCCTAAAGCAGGATCATTCAAGAGCAACCTCTGATTTTGTGCTTTCATTTACAACCATAGATGGCAAACTTGTTCATGTAACTAACTTGTGTATAAGTGAGTCAAGTGACACATTTTGTATTACCTAAGAGACAGTGTTGAGAAAATATTTGGAGACTGAGACCAGAAAGGTTCATCTTGTTTGTCTTATTATATATCAGAAGCAATTAAAAATATTATTCTTTTTTTTTCCCCAGAGTTTTATGAATGTTTTAAATCATTGTCTTCCTCTGAAATGAAACTGAGTGCATTCCTAGTTTGCTGAGCCACACATAGRTCAGAGAGCAGTAATTAGACTAAGGCTGAATATGCTGCCATATTTTTGTAATTCATGTTAAAAAGCTTAGGGGATCGTACTTAAATCTTAAAATTTAAAATTTAAGAATTTACTGAGCAATTTCATATTTTTTTTGTTTTGTTTTTGTGTACCAGTAGTGTTCTAAATACTTTATGATTAATGACTAATATTGCTGCCATATATAATGTTGATTACATTAGGTTGTTGATAGTATAGCTTTTGCTTACTTATAAAATGATTATTTTACATATTTTAATTTTTCAAGAGCCAAAGGATGATTATTTGTACCTATTTATTTCTGCTCCTTGTAGTAGTTTTACTTTTTCCTCTTGTAAACTTTTGTAGTGTCTTAGTGTCCTCTGTGTGTGTTSAAAACAGGAGGGTTTTAAAGCAGAGCCAAAATCTTCCTTCTGTATGAGCACACTGTTGCCACTGGATCCCTATGGATGGTGTCTTGGGCTATCAGTGGTGTGCATGGGTGCATGTGGGAGTGATCTGAGGTGAACCCTGCTGCGAGTGAGTTCTTGTGTGAAATAAGAGGTAATCAGAGGAATTCTTGTGACAATATAAATGGATTATTTATTTATACGCTTCCCTCTCCTCCTTTCTTCTTCCATCAGGTATTACAACAGTGTTGACCATGACCACGCTGAGCACAATTGCTAGGAAATCCCTCCCAAAGGTTTCTTATGTGACGGCGATGGACCTCTTYGTTTCAGTTTGCTTCATTTTTGTGTTTGCTGCCTTGATGGAATATGGCACTTTGCATTACTTTACCAGCAACAGAAAAGGGGACAAAGGAAAAGAAAAGAAGGCAAAATCCAAACCATCAGTAAGTCTAGTCAAGCAATTTAGAAGAAAAAGAAAATACAGACTGCTGATCATTGTAAAATTAATTCTGAGGGATTCATTCCCAAGCAAAAGGGCTAATTTTCAAAGGGAATTTTTACAGTTGGGGTCTTCTCTTTATTTTCTCTCTATACTACTAATAAATGAACAGAATCATCTTARTAATATGTGAATGAGAACGTATAAGGCTAAGCTAGAAAATAAGGTAATATTATTATTTTATTTTAATATTATTTTCCCTATTGTGCACAACTCCTCTGTGCTTTTAGAGCTGCCTGTAAAGTCCTCCTGGCAGCTCTGTTTGGGCACAGTGCTTCTGACTGGCAAAGGACTCCTGGCAAAGGACTGTAGATAAGATTGTAGCAGTGGAAAATAATGTAAATGTAGTGAAGATATGATATTTATTTGGGTCTGCATCACTTAACCTCCCTTGAGCCTGACCTCACTAACATTTCAAAGGAAAAAAATAACTATATTAGCCAGAACTGAAAACTGTAAATCTCTTTGACTTCACAAATGCTCCTTCAAGTCTTTAAAATTTACTAGCTTGTTTCTTCCTAAAAAAAAACCCCAACAAACAAACAAAACCCAAGAAAACCTCTACCTATTACAAGTTGAAATTAATGTGGTAGGAATCCTCACTGGCGTTAGGGAAAAATATTATGTGRGTTTAGAAGCTTCATATTCCTTTAGGATGAATACAGGAATTTCTGAAGAATCTGTTGTTGGAAGCCAGTAAAAATTTAAGAGTTAATTTGAAATTTCATGAAGCATTGAGGTAAAGGCATGAAGTGTTTTATTCTTCAGAACACTGATCTTAGTAGCTGAGGCTTGATAATTTTGAGCCTCCTTTGTCTGTCCTCTTACTATCCTTTCCCAATGTTAWAAAGCCCACTTCCATATCATTCTTTAAAGGAAGCTAAAGCATATAATCATAATGTGAATCAAACTTGGAATAATGGTGGACTAGAAACTATAGCAATTATTGACTAAATAGTTGGAGATTGAGCTAAGATTAAAATTAGCAATAAAATAGGAAACACTATTATGTTWTATTCTGTTCCTAAAGTATTCTTTTTACTTCTAAGGATTGATAATTAAAAAAAGAAAAAAGGAAAAAAAAAAAAGAAAACAGCTCTCTCTTCAGCCAGAATTCTTTAAATTWTTAGCAAACCAAAAAACCACAGTCCAAAGAATAGCTATAAGAACAAATTCAGTAAGTGATTAATCAAAAAAAAAGAAAAAGTGTTCTAAATATAATGCCCTTGGATGCAAAAAATTCAAATTTAATCAAAAGAAGTTTTGTTTGGTGAAGTTGTTTGGAATGATCTTCAATTTGTTGTCCCAAATGGGATCATGAAAAAGCTATCTGATTAATTATGGTAATATTTACACTTATAGATTTTTTGTTTGTTTGTTTTTGTATTTACTATCTTTGCCAAAGACTTTATTCTTTTATTTTGTAGTTTTAGATATAAAATAGCTGTAAAATAGCTAATTAAATTAATAAAAAAATTAAAAAGTCTGTAGGAAAAGATATCGTTCACTTTTTTTTTCCCCCCTTGCCTTGCAAGGAAAACTTGCTTTGCCTGTGTCTTCTACTGCAAAATGCAATAAAAACGTATTATTCCAGCAGYTGATGCCAAGAAGGTGCTGTAAAATATCTTGTGAAGAAATAGTGAGATTTTGTGAATGATTACAGCAGTTTTATTTTACAGAATGTGTGCTAGTGTCATTCAAGCAAAGAAGTATGAACTGACTTATGAAAAGCCACATTAGTAAGGGTAATGAGTTTGGGCTGGAAGGATTACACTTARTTAGTAGCGAATCTTCTGATCAGCATTTCACCTGAAGTGAATGCATTATCTGTATTATGAGCTCAAAAACTGCATTGATGACGGCTTTTTTTGTACCTCTGTGTTTAGTATTTGGTGTAGAATAATTTGATTTTCATCTTGTCAGTGTATTATAAATGCTTCTCATTATATTTCATCTACAATATAATCAACCGTCTTCAGGTAGAATCAACATTCATATCATATCAACCTACAAATACATATATATAYGTTTTGGTTGCTGCCACATATTATAAGGTCATATTATTGCAACCTTATATTCTACTTTCCTGTACACTGTAAGCCCACTTTTATTCCTAAAAGTGACTCTGAGAGTGTTTGAGAAAACATCTCTTTTTATCTTTTATTCTATTTTTAAAATAAGGTGAGTTTGAGGGATTTTTTTAGTTATCATTTTTTATTTACAGTTTCCTCATGCTTTCTGGGGTAAGACCTTTCTGAAGACCTCAGTTCTTCTTAGTACTCTTCTGGTTCATAGTTTAGGGATTTATAGTTTCATTCTTTGAATCAGGTCCATGCTGGGTTCAGCAGGCTAAGGATTTTATCTTTTACTTCTGTCCCTTCCTGACCTTTACATTTTACCTTTAAGATTCCTTTGATTTTCTTTTTAAAACATTATCTTCATTGTTTAAAACATTATCTKTTCTTCTCTTTTCTTCATTTTGTCTCTTTCCTGCGTATTGTTTATATATTTCCTGTAAGAAATCAGATGTATAACATAGTACTGCCTTTCTGCCTCTCAAGACCCTTCTAATAATTTTGAATTCAGTAGCCAATTCAGTAGTCTGGTCTGGTATTTGTTAAACAGACTATGCAGTAGAGGAAAGACACATGAGCAAAATGAATAATAGAAAAAACAAAAGCAAGCGGTCCTTACCAGCCACTAGAGAATCCTCCTGCTAGTTCAGCTGCAAACCACTGGAGAACCCTGAYTTCTTTGGCTGTACTTCTCAAGGGACTGTTTTGTTTTCTGTCCTCCCTCCTTTGCTGTTCTGCTGTGGGATGCTGTGGTTGCTTCTTTCCCTCCTCTCATTTATTCTTTTGAACAAGGTGATTACTATTTTTATYCAAGTAGCAACTTAAGTATTGTGACCTTCAGTAGATGTACCCTTGTGAAGGGTTGACATAAATGTTAATTTTTTTTTCTTATGTAGAAAGAAGCTTTGTTTGTAATACTTACTTGGGCAGAAGCATCTAACTGCTGTTTGTTAATGTAGTCAKCATTTATCATAACTGGAAAGAATAATGAGGTCCTTTAGGATARTAAGTAGCTCCTTAGGTTATTGTGTCTAAGAATTTGTTGAAACAGCAGTGTGCGTGAAAATTCCTTTGGAAAGCACTTATTAAATAAGTTTATGAAGGGGGTAGGAAGACACGTTGTGCATTAAACTACTTCAGCATCATCTGCCATCATCTGGAATCAGAGTGAACAAGAGTGAACAAGAGTGAACAAGAAGACTATGGAGTGGTCTAGAAAGGCTATGAGATTTAGAAAAAGGAACAAGAACAGAAGGGTAAAGGGAGAATGTCTTAAAAATATTTGAAGAAAGAAAGATAGAGTAAATAATTGCATAGAAACAAAATAACAGAAGGAATGAAAAGAATGAAAATCACAGGAAAGGATATAGCAAATGTTCTATGTATGAAGCAATAAGACACCTATATTTTTTCTATTAAAATTATTTATGAACCTTGACAGCTTTTATAGTGAAATTTCCTAAACTACAAGAGAATTGAGATATGTTAGCTGAAGGTAGAAGTGAGAATTAAGAGCTACGTTGATCAGTTTACTGATTTGAATGGTATTCTTYGTGGGAGGCTGCCTTGGTCTTTGTGGGCTCTCGATGTTTTTTTCAGGAGTGTAACATCAGAGGAGCATTAGATGACTTACTGTGTGTCAAAGTCTCTTAAACTTCACCAGCGATGCTGTACTAATCTCACTAGCTTGTTTTGCCCCAAATGTAACTTCCAGATATGTATCCAGTCTTTTTCTGAAGACTTCAGATGATGGGAAAAGATCATTCCCTTAGTAGTGTTATCTATATCCTGCTTGTGGACTTGTTTGTGACACAGTTGCCCAGCTGTGGCTGACTTCAAAATGYTCTTTTGTGTTGTATGGATCAGATCCACTAACCCTGTCTGTGTAACTAATTATTCAGTATTCCCAAGTCCCAGCACAACCCAAATTTTACTGAGGCAGGTGAAAAGCATTCGTGAACTTTTGCCTGCCTGAGCTGATTACATATAGCAATTCAAAATTCACAATGCTCCYCAAACTGGTTGTCATTAAAATTTGAAATTCTGTATATTGAACTAAATGTACTTACAGTGGCCTTTCTGTGGGAAGTCCGTGGAATGTTTGTACTCTGTGGGGAAAGAAAAAAGTATATATTTTTCTTTCTGTCTCTCCTTTTCTTTTTAAGAAACCACCTGCAATTGCCGTTCGACCTGGATCAACACTAATTCCGATTAATAACATTAATCATCTACCTGAACGTGATGATGATTATGGATATGAGTGCCTAGAAGGGAAAGACTGTGCTAGCTTCTTTTGTTGTTTTGAAGACTGCCGCACAGGATCTTGGAGAGAAGGAAGRATACACATCCGTATTGCAAAAATTGACTCTTATTCTCGAATCTTCTTTCCAACTGCCTTTGCATTGTTCAATCTTGTTTACTGGATTGGCTATCTTTATCTATAAATTTCAGAGGTTTGGCAAACTCAGAAAGAGGCTAATTCACCACTGATTCTTAAAACTTATTGAACAATCAAAGATTAGAGCTGGTCCCAAGTCACTAAAATTGTCTGGATCTATTAACAATTTGAAGCTGAGAGTGGAAATATGGTGATCCCTTGTTTTCGATTACGAATTGTTTGTTTTTGTTTGTTTCCTTTTAGTTTTGAAGAGAGAATTTTAAAATAAATACCTGTAAAATTTAACATACCTGTACACACTCCAATTCTATGTCCAGCTCTAACAAAGTGCAGAGACAAGAGGCTATGTTTTGAAATGGTCAGTTCTACATAAAGTTTTAATTTTAATCCTAAATGATAAAACGGACAAATTTTGTAGCATCTCTTACACCTTAACAAAGAAAGCCTTAATAAAATGGAATTAGTCTAGTCTATTTCTTCTGTAAGGTGGTTATTTTTATGAATTCCTGATTTTGAAAGATCAAAATGAAATTTTCCTATTTTTCAGCTAGCCATTTGTCCTCTGCAGTATGTTAAAGTGTGATTAATTTGTAGTTAATTCCATTCAGATTTATACAAAGTCATGAGATGAGAACAGCAAGAAATGGATATATCACAAAAACAAGGGCAATTCTGAGCTTGTCTTATCCTGACTATTTATTTATGTAGACTTTTGGCTTTCAACCTTAGATTACATTTATGTCTGTGGTCCATCTACTGTTACTTCTTTTGAGTTCACTGAAGTTCTCCAATAGGGCTACAACTTTCCAAGGTTCTAAAATAGCTACCATTGCTTGGTGCAGCTCTGCTAATTCTGTGGAAACCTGGCTGATCTTGGCCAAATGAGATTCTCGACATTGAGAGTAATGCTTTTCACATCCTCCCCATTCTTCTCTCCTTAGTCTGATTCAAACTCAGGGTCATAGATAATGTTATGTTCAGTAGAATTTCTGCCTATGAAGTTTTGAAAACACTGACAATATTTTAATCATCATATTCAAACCCAGTAGGCTGGATCTCCAGCTTTCAGAGTGACGTATATGACCAGTTTTCAGAGTAAAGTGGAGCACCGCTTTGCATACTGTATTTTTTTTTGCAGATTCTACTTGTCATTGTGTATGCCACTTAGCCAATTCCAAATGATATGGATTTATTGAACTCCTGTTATGGATTGATTTATAATAATTCCTTCATATTTGTTGCTTTTAAAAGCAAATTCTTGTTATAGAGGAAGAAATCATTCTGTGTTGCAGATCATTATCCAAGATGGGATGTAGCCCCAAAAATCATAGGACCAGTTCTCCAGGTTCTCTTTAGTCAGAGATTTGGTTCATTTTGGTAGATAATCTTCAATGTTAGTCTTTCTGGATTGACTTCTTTGTGTTCACTATTGCTGACTGGTAGCATTTAGTATCTCCTTTTTCTTTTTAAATCCSTTGTTGTCTTTATAGGAAAGTGCAGTCCCTCCTTCTTTCTCAGAAAGAAGCTGGTCTCAAGTGAGCTTGCAAAAATCACTGTAAAATTAAGATACACAGTAAGTAAAAGTCAGAACTGCAGAGAAAACCTTACAGATCTTTAAAAAGGATTAATGGATTAGCATTTGGCGTTAGGCAAGGATACTCAGTGCTGGAGATAAAGACATGATTAATGGCTAATAACAGAAAATGGTATGTGAAAGACCCTTTCCTCCCACAGTGTTTCTGTTGCATGTACTCCCTCCTCTGAATTTGTCTTAGGAAAGATTAATATATCTTCATAAGCTAGTCAGTACCAGACACAATTAGATTCGATATGCAATACAAATTTCAGGTGAAGTGCTATCGTGGTATTCAGCCCCACAGTTTAATAAAGTTGAAAGCTTATATGCAGTGATTCAGGCCAATGGTGTGAAGAATAAGATCCAATTTTAATGCAAACTTTATTTCTGTATTTTACTGATAAAATGTCAAAGTGGCTCGGGGAATCTGAAAATCTGCTGTGGAGGCTCGCAGTTAATATCTGTTATATGATCTTGCTAAGATACAACTGCTGATTTTAAGACTGAGGGTAAAAGTGAGGCATCCTAAATAAGTGATGTGCTCATATTTATTTTTTTTTCTGTAGAATCTTATTTTCAGAATATATTCAGTAAAATAGAAATGTGCCAGTTTTAATTTATAGTGCATTTTGATGTTTTTTGACAGCCCTCTGAACACATTTCTCAGGAGGAGGTATGAAGGTGTTTTGGTGTGTACTTGAAAAGCAAGTCTAATTGCTCTGTGACATGAGGCCCAATTGTGTGAGTTCCTGTAAGCTCCTGTAAGCAAAAGGAATCAAAATATCTTGGCACCTCACAAAGGGAAACACTAATTTCACTACCTGCCCACCTCTGGCACATCTGGTTAGCCTTTTCTGTTCACTTGGTTGTYCCAGTAGCTGAATTGAAGAACAGAAAACATCCTGAATTGGCAAGGGATGGGTAAGAAGTCTTTCATCTCTTGTTTCAATGAGACAATGTAATGGAATATTAAAGCTGTTGAATTTTATGACTGTTTGACCTACGGATACACTTATTTGCTTCTGTGCATTGACAAACTTTTCTGTGTACCTCATTTGTTCTTGATGGACTTTAGCTTSCCATAGTACTGTGAGTGCAAATACAACTGAGAATGCAGCAAACTGTAACTTGGCATGTAATAAATGTATTATTTTATATGTTTTCTTCCTAAACTGCATGTAAACACTTGATTCTAAGAAATCTTAGCGATACTCCTAAAAAAAAATGGCAAGAAACAGAAATTATTTTCCAAATATGTGTTATTAATATATGCCATTATATCATATGAATATATGCCATTATATCATATCAAATACATGCCATTATTTTTCAAATATATATTAATAAGAGATTTGACTTACTGATAGTTGGGATCACAGCATGTGAAGTCATATTATTCTAGTCATTAGTGCTTAAGCATATGCTTAAAGCTATACCTAATCGGTACTGTAATTAGGCCAGAAATCAGAAAAGCATGTGCTTATGTACTGTCATGAAGAATGATGTGCTATGCTGAATTGGTGCCATTAATTTGTGCTTAATTTGCACTAATTTCAATAATAAGTATTCAGTAGCTCAAGTGACCGAGCGGTAAGGATCTGTGCCAGAGCCTTTTCAGTAAAAGTTTTTGTATTGAAAGAAATGGACATAGGAACCCCAACAGGGTTTTAATAATTAATTATCTGTTGTTTATTTTATATGTTAATAAGATATTTATTTAAACTTGGTATATGAAATATATTTTGTAACTTGTGAGCACATTTGCTGTTTTAGTTGAAAAACCCAACACAAGGAGTCTATATTTATATATACATATCTGCATAAAGTAAGATATATAGTTGATGTAGTAAATACCTATCCAAAAAAAAAAAAAAAGGTAGGTAATGGGAGCTTGTAGCTGAAGCCAGAAGGATGACTTCTTATGATGAACATACTTGATTCAGTTGAGAGTCTGCCCCTACAGCAGGTATGGAGGAAGGGGGAGGATGAGGGAAAACGGATGATCTGGGGTACTGATCCAAACTGTTCCCCCGGTGTAGGATGTCATTGATCTGAATGGCCTAGTCACTGGGTGTCTCAATGGCATTCATGATAATTCTCTTGATTTGCCTGCAACATAATTGAATTAGTATTAGAAAATAAAGTAAAATAAAGTAAAATAAAGTAAAATAAAGTAAAATAAAACAAAACCCCAGGTATTTCTTAGTAGTTACTGACTGAATGATTAGCAGGTCATTGTCTTGCATGAACATTATTCATGTGGAATTTCCTTCTTCAAGGAGGAAAATACTTAGTGCTACTAAGAATCAAATCTGAATTAAATCATAAAAAGATTTTTTTCTTTAATTATTAATTATTAACTATTAATTAATAATTATTAATGATAGACCTTGAAAAAATGTTGGAGTATAAATTGGGAAAACAGACACTGAGACAGAGCTTTTTCCTTGGTGTTTGCATGCCCGTCTTGCATTCATTCACTGACTGCCTCCCATCTTCACCCAGATGTGTTTTGTGTGCCCAGTTCAGAAAAACCAAATGCTAATAACTAGGACAATCCTTAAAGGAGTAAGAAAGATGCACATGATCATTTCAGGCGCTAAGTTGGGAATCGCACATCCTCCAAGGATGTTGGTGACAGTGGCTGATTAAAAGGAATGATGTTTTCTGCCTGCTGGATTATGTTTTGAAACAGTGCCGTGTCCTTGCTTTCTTTCAGAAGATTGACCTGAGATTGCCACATAAAGCAGCCTTCTCGTGAATGCTTATCTATGCAGAGATGCAATTTCATTGACTTTGCTGTCATCCTAAGGGGCAYCTAAGTACTCCCCATATGAGACAGCAGGAGGGTTTGGATTGCATCTGTGGGCAAGGTGCCTGACCTCACCCCAGCACTCACTGTTATGGATTTGAATTCCCGTTTCAAATCTGGTATGATGTTAGTGAAAAGTTACTAGTATTTTGAAAGTCAGTGAATGCTAAACTTTCCAGGTGATTTACTAGTAAATCTCATAGAGAAAACTAGAGAACTATGTAGATTTTAGATAACCAGTTGAGGCAGAAMCTTAGCTAAAACTGACTGACTAAAGGAGGCCAACCTTTTCTGCGTGCACAGGTCTATGTGCTGTCCAGAAAGTCAGCATCTTGTTTCTAAAAAATCGAAACTTTCAAAGCAGCATTCTAAGGAAAAGCATTTCCTTAGAACAACATTCTAAAGAAAAAAAAAATCCCTTAAAATTCCCCCCAAAATTTTATTCCCTTTCACAGTGACAAATATTGCTTCACACAGGAAATCTCTGTTATGGTGGACCAAAATAATATGTGTTTTGCCAGAGCACCACAAGGGATGTAAGACAAAAGACCTGTAGAGTGTTCCAAATTTTTTTTCCCTCTCCCTTTTCATAGTCAACAGTTTCAAAAGTGCAAAAGGTGTATGGCATGTGAAAATGAGTTTTCCTACCTGACAACAGGGCCCACATCCCACTAATTGATAACACTGATGGAGACAGAAGTCTGCTTTCAGCAATAAGGCACCTCTCGTAATTCCYTCTGCGGTTCCTAGCAGTTATTTTTCTATTCTTTTCTGCTTGCCTACCTGAAACTGTGAGATAGTTTGTGTTGGAAGTGATTCTCTTGTATTTCTGGCTTCACAGAATTATCGTTATCATAATGCCTTGCGCTTTACTGAATTCATAAAAGATTTTCTCTTCCAGTTTGTCTGGTCAGGCCTTACACATGTGATGCCTTGCCTACAGACTTTGAAAGAAGGATTTTCAGTTGATCCAGTGAAAAGGGCAAACTGGCTCCATAAGGTAGAGGTAGGATTGCTTTGTGATTTGGACTTGAAAAGGTTAAGGGCTGCTAAAACAGTTATCACCCTTTAGGAGGCATGTTATTATCAATTCAATATTTGAAACAAACAAACAAAAAAAAAAGACAAAAGCAACTGCTGTGGGTGGATTAGATGTGGGAAATGGAGGTTGAATCATTATTACACTGAGGAAGTGTGACTATGAAGCCTATAGGGAGCAGGTCACASTTGTGTTACCTGGGAAGGTCACACTTGTCCCTCTGCCCCACTTGCGTAAAAGCAGCAGCTTTGAAGGAACTGGTGCCATGATTCAGATTTTCCAAGTTGGATAAATGCAGACATATGCACATTTATAGGTCCAGTATAAAAGCACAATCTCTGTTCACACGTTRGTCACTGGCAAAATTATAATGGTTTGCTTATGTGCCTGTCGTCACAGCAGCATTTCATTTGCCACGTTGCACACTGTGAGTGTGTGCTTGGAATTTTTGTGTGAACTGGAAGGCTGTGTTATGATACCTGTAATTATAGACTAAAATGCTATAAAATATAAATATTCTTTTAAATGAAATTCAGATGTTAGAGTCTGGCATAGATGTATTGTAATTCCTCTTTGAAAAAAGATCCAGTATCTACTTTTCTTATAATTGCTGTTTCCACGCTTTCCTCAGGTTTTGTGAACAACTGCAGTTTACGGTCTAAAGACTACACTTACTTATGTAAAATTCCTTCAAAGGGATAATTATCTGTTACCAATTCATCCTTTTTTTAAATTCTATTTTTTTTTAAATTCTGTTATTTGCTAATTACTTAAGCAAACATTTTTATAGTGCATTTAATTTGACAGTGTTTTGGCACCAGTGGACAACATTGTAACATAGAGCTCCTCTTAACAAATTGTGCGAAAGCTCTTTTGGATAACTTATTAATTAAAATCAAAAAAAAATCCAGAAAACATGGTATTCAGTAGATTGTGTAATTTTTGCAGTTGCTTCTAAGAAATGTTTCTATATAACTTGAAGGAAATTATAAGGTGTTACATTACTATATGTGTTGCAACAACTTAGCATTTTTAAATAGTAACAAAAAGCCCTCTGCACTGTACGGAGAAAATAAAATTTAGTRATTTTATTTTTATCACTGCCAGTTTAGTGAGCTCACAAAAATATTTCCTCATCCTTTATGGATGGATAGTTTTATTGTCTAAACGTATTAGACAATAGAAATATACAGGGTTAGATGTAAACACAGCAGCTTTGGATGGGGGAAATTTTGGGAACAAATGCATATTATCTTTTGACCTAAAGTACCTGCAGGTAAGAACTGCTCTTTTATCACTGGAGTGGTGCCKCTTTATACCTCCTGAAAAATTTAGCCCGTTACACAGAGGATATATGTTGATCTGTCATTCTTTAATAAATAAAATACAAAATTTATTTTTCCTTCATCTGCTTTCGTTCTAGAAGCCTCCTTAGTTGAGATAATCTTACAATAAGTGTACTGATATTTACAGTTCTACTCAGTTATTTGGTACTTTTCCAATAGCCTTGGAATGCACTCATCCATTATTATATTCAGTTACATAGAAATGTCAAGTTATCGTAGCAAGCTTTTAATATGATTAAGCCATGACTTCTTCAGCCTCTCTTAAAAAAAAAATCTTAATCTCTTGTGTACAATGCCAAAAATAAAGAATTTGCAGGTATCAGGTTGAGTGTTATTTGATTCTCCAGTTAGATAGAGTATGTCTGCCAGGTTAGAGTGAAATGCTGATATCATTCCATTTTGGTATTTGACAGCATTATTAATGAGCTTGGCTGGGTTGGAAGACTTTACAAAGCTGAAAACTGGTGACGCTCTGAGCTAGCTTCCAGACACCTGAAACTCTGAGAATGTGGCAGAAGGGAAATTGGTAATAGCAAAGACATAAGTATAGATTTCCATATGTAGACTGTACAGCCAGACCTTAAAATTATATTTGTCAATCTCTGATTGTTGTTCAAATATACTTTTACTGTGTTCTATACTGTTCTTTTTTTTCCCAGAAAATCTAAGTCTTTTTATGTGAKATGTATATTTTATGTGACAAGAAAGGTCTAGGAAAAACAGAACTAACAATTTTCAATTTCATTTGCTTTTTGCTAAATAAGAAAAAGCAAATGGTCTGGTTGAAGATAGGCATTGATGTTACTSAAGGTAATTTACTGAAGGTAAACTTGTAAATTT